TCTGAGCCCTGCCCAGTCATGAAGTGAGCAATCTAAAATCTCCAAGCCTGTTGTTGTTATCATGTGCCATAGAGTCACCTGTGATTCATAGGGACCCTATGTATTATAGCTGTGAAGCCCACCCCTTCCTGAGCAATCTCACTGTTTCTGACACATTTGTCCCCATAACCTCAGTTACTTTTTCAATCCAGCTCATCCAAGGTCTTCCTCTGTTCTACCCGTCCAAGCATGATATCCTTCTTCAAAGACTGGACCCTCCTGGCAACATGCCCAAAGTATGTGAGCTTCAAAATCCTTGCCTCCGACGAGAAGCTTGGTTTCACCCTCTTGGGCATAGATGTGTTCTCTTGACAGTCATGACATGTTCAGTAGTCTTCTCCAGCACCACAACTCAAAGGTATTTGTTCTTCTTGTGTCATTGTTAGTCATTATCTAGCTCTCTGATGCCTAGCAAGTAAATGCCAAGACCATGGTCTCAATCAGGAGCACCTTAGCCTTTAGATTGGCATCGTTGCTCTTTAGCACTTGGAGAGGTCCCTAATAGCAAATTTCCCTAATCCAATTCGTCTTTTGATTTCCTGACTACTGGTACGAAGAGTGTTGATTGTGGAGTCAAGCAAACTAAAATTGTTAACAACCTCTTCTCCAACAATCGTAGTGCTGCCAGTTGGCCCAATTGGGAGAATCTGTCTTCTTGATGTTTAGCTTCAATCCATATTGAAGACTACAGCCTACATACTCTAATTTCCTAGTCTCTGGTTAATATACTTGCTTATAAATCGAAGATGAGCAGTGGAAAGCCACTCAGAAGCGCTTTAGAAGAAATACTTGGTGACTCACTTCTGAAAGCTTAGCTACTAAAAGCCTCATGGAGCCCACCTGTTCTCCAACACACTCGGGGGCCCCATAGAGGCCTAGTCACCTCAGTGCCATCTATCTTCTGATGTCCTTTCTCCCTCATTAACATCTTCTCAGCGAGCTTTAGAGTTGAAGGCTAGAATCTTGTCCTAGACATGCCACTTTCACTTGGTTATGGAATGCTGGATAAGTGACTCAAGGAAATTGAGGTTCAGGGAGGTTATCTGAAAGGATGCAGATAAGAAGGCATGGCTATTTGAAAATTAGGTGAGATTATGTAAGCCAAGATCATTATCTGCGAATGACTCATCGATCCTACCATTTGTAATCCTTAAAATGGGCCAGACCCTTCACTACACCCTTCACATGTGTCTTTTTGAAATCAAGTATTCCATGTAAAGAAATCTTCAGTAAATCAACAGCAAAATTCACGGATCCGGTTCTCACGCAAGGCTCTGACTTTTTAGCCATGAAATGTAGATTTTGGGACCTTGCCGTTTCTATTTAACTTTGGGGTTGAGTTTGAAACGTTAAGGCAGGATGATCAAAATAAGCCTCTCACATGGTAGATTTGTGGGTGTCGTGCAGCCTACCAGAGATGTGCTTGGACAGGGATCTATCTTTCTGGCGTTCCTCTGAATGTGATGCTAACCACCATTATTTCCTTCCAAAGGGGGACCCAGCCAGCTCTCAGTCCCAGGGTGTTTCAGTAAATACAGCTATAACAAATTCCACTTCTCTCTTCAACTGTGTCCACTGGAATTTTCTAAAGTCCTGAGATATTTTGGGGCGCCCTCTTTCCCATCCTGCTCTGGTGTGGCTGCAGGGCCTCCGTCCCCAGACGCTGGGCAGCGAAAGCAGATCTAATGCAGATGCTGAGCTGGAGGGGCGGCATCTCCCATCCATCAAGTCTAACTGTATCCAAACATGTTCAATCGGTGCGCTCCTTGATCACTTTCACTGTATGGAAAACAAAATGGAGGGCAATGGTTATTGGCACAAAAGGGGGAAGCCATAAATCTTCAAATCAGATCTACGACAGATTGGAACAATATGGGTTCTCCAAGGTTGCCATGATAATGTCCCTAATAACTCTCCTTGGGCAAAAAAAGCAATCTGCTTTCAATCAATCTTGCTTTTTCTGAGCAAAAATACCAATTATGTTGAAGGAAGATTTTTTTCTTCCTTTTTGATAAAGACTGCTCTGCTCTTCAGAAGCTACGCTGTAGCTAAAAGATATATTTTCAGTTGTCTAGAATACTATTGAGCAGCTAGCCCCAAATGAGAAAAGTCAATCCTTTTTTTTTTTTAACTTCCTTTCTCCCCTTGCTTGCCAGCATTTGTCTGCTTCTTAAGAGAAGTGAAAGCTAATTAAAGGCTTAAGGGATAATATTGATTGCATTGGAATATATTTTCTATGTACCCAGCACATTTTCAGCAGAGAGGACCCTGACTCTTTGTACGGCTGCATAAATCAGCCGACTGAGCATTTGATTCAGGGTGAGGGGGGACCTCATCTCCTTTCTTCCACTGTGCACACATCTTTCACAGGGATGAACGATTTCAGAAGAGGAAGAGGGAATGCTGGCAGATACGCATCCACTTCTTTGCAAGCAGGACAGAAAGGATGGATGATCAGACGTTTTCCCAGACTGCTCATTGATTTGAGTCCAGCTCTGAATAATAACCAGACTTTTATTCTGGTACAGAACTTTGAACTTTGCTGTGCCTGGTACAACCCCAAGAGAGTGGCAAGGTGGTTTTAACCTCTGTTGCCTCATTTATTGAATGGGGATAGTAACTTGCCCAGGATCACACGGCAGAACAGGAAATCAGATCTGGCTTTATTTCATATCCAGGTAACAGGAAGAACCCCACCACTCATAAGTCCTGCAGGGGTACCATTTACTGTTGTTGTTTGGTACTATTGAGTCCATTACAATTCACAGTGACCCTGTGAACAACAGATCGAACCAAGCCCTGCCCTAAGCCATCATCACTGTCTCCTTCATGCTCAAGCCTATTGTTACAGTCATCTGTCAGCCCATCTTGTTGAGAATCTCCCTTCCTTTCTCTGACTTTCCACCTCGCCCAGCTCAGTATACCTTTCCAAGGACTGGCCCCTTCTGACCTCACTCTCAAAGTATGTGTGACCAAGTTTCACCCTCCTTGCCTCTAAGGGGCACCCAGGCTGCATTTCCTCCAACACAGACTTGTTTGTTCTTTTGGCAGCACATGGACTATTCAGTACTCTGCCAGCACCATAATTCAAAGGCATGAATTCTTCTTCAGTATTTAGTCAATGTCCAACTTTCAGATGCAAATCCACTAGGTGGACTTCTAGTGACCTCGTCCTGATGGTGGAAGTGTGTGGGCCGAAAGCATCAGGACTGTACCAGGCAGCGCCGTTGCTGTCTGCGGGGCAGTGGGGTCAGGAGGAGGCCCGGTTTCTCATCCTCTTGTCTAGCACATTGAAAAAAGTCAGCATCACAGAATTCTATTCAGAACAATGTTTTATTGCATCACAAGAGGCATTTTGATATAAAGCGTGCCGGAAGGGCACACAATCTATATGTTGAGTTTACACTGTGACATATGATGGGTTCATATCCTACACTGAAGAGGGAGTTAGTCACGTGGATTTGGGGCACAGAATTTGGACCTTCCCTGAGCCCTGTGGGTGCAGAGTAAAGTCACCTGTCTTCTGACTTAGCCCACTGAGATCCCCCTCCCCATGACCGCTCACTGCACCACTGTAACAATAACAGTCCATAATCGCGCTTTTATTAACTGCACCGTGCATATTATTGATTTACTCTTTGTTCTGCATGATTATCTTTCACCAATGAGTTTACGGCATTATTCGCACACACTTAGTCAAGCACCAAATTACAACGCAAGGGCAGGTTCTCGTAATGGCACCTAATGGGACGTTGCATAAGCGATCATCACTGTGTCCTATTACGAGCTTGCTGCCTCCAGCCAATAAGCCCTCCCCCGGGCTGGAGTGTGCACAGAGCAATTAGGAAGTGCCGGAGACCCGGCCCTTCAAAATTTCACCTGGCAAATTATTGTGCTTCATGCTTGCCACCTGCCTGTCCCTCCAAGCCCAGCCAAGGATCCCGCCCCCATCACTGGCACTGAGTGGCCTAGAGATCTGGGCCATAGTCTCTTTATGAGAAGCCAGCGAGTTTCAGCAACATATTCAGTCTCTGCTTTGTCTTGGGACTAACTCTTGATCAAAATGCTTACTCAGAACTGTGTAGCAAATATGAGTGGGCACAGTAGCAGCCCAGGGGGAAACCTGAAGTCTAGAAACCTCACGTCCTCAGTGGCAGCTGCCGACTCCCCAAATTAAAAGCCAGGCCCCCCTTGCACAAGGCCATGAGTTCCAGCCTCATCTCTTCCTGGTCCTCTCCATCTTGGGGTGAATGTCTGTAGTGACCCCGAGATTGCAGCCTTCTGGAGATGCACAACCCGCATCGAGATCTCCGATTCCATGGGCATCCCATCTCCATTTAGCCCTGAGTGATGCTCACTTACTGGAAAGCATTCCATGGCCCCGTTGTCGGAGGAGTTATGGCGGAAAAATGCAAAATTTCCTTTTTACTGCTTATGGCCAGCCGAGCCTATAACGTGTCAAGCCGTACATTAGCCACCCTGATAAAAGTCCACTTTCTTACACACAAAATCATCGGTTCAGCAAGATTTGTTATCTCATTACCTGATAAGCTCTATGTCATAAACCAAGACTCATACAGTAAATCTCCCAGGAGGACACTCTGTGGGCAGGAAGGGAGAGATATGAATCTGCAAGGGGCTTGATAATGCAGCATTTAAGCACAAGCATAATGTCACTTATTGTTAAATGCATAAAACCACTTGGCCAAACGGCTGGCTTTTAATAGGATTTTGTGCAGCCTCAGGTGAGGAGCCATATGCCCTTTCTGTCTCGGAGTCTCTAAGAACCTGCTGGCCCCTCTGCTTTGTCTCGCACTCTCTGGGGGTGGGAGTTGGGTGGAATGGAGGCCACCGGAGGTGGGGGATGTCTCCCCTGCAGCGGCTGCGTGCCTCCTGCCTTACTAGTGGGTGGGCACCAGGACAGCGCTGGACAGCTGGTTTGACTGTTCTCTCCCATGCAGGCACATTGTAGTCTGTGGACACATCACTCTGGAGAGTGTCTCCAACTTCCTGAAGGACTTCCTGCACAAAGACCGGGACGATGTCAATGTGGAGATTGTCTTTCTTCACAAGTAAGAGGCTCCTGCTGCTTACAAAATCTCAACTCAGCCTTGCATCATACCAGGGGCTCCCTGAGTGTCCACAGGAGGGAGGGTGATGGATGGGGATGGTTGATTAAACCAGCCTCCCTGCTGGCTTTGTTAGGAAGGGGAACTCAGAACCAGTAGAAAGAAAGGCAGTCACTAGATCCCCTTTGGGCAGAGCTTGCCTGTGGGGAGACAGTCCTGGGACCGAGTCTCTGGGAGAAATAATGGTGGGGTCTTTTGTGGATTATACATGTCATCACTGTCCCCTCAGCAGCCTAGGTCTATGGTCCAGGTGTATCCACAGCTTCTGGACATGAGATGACTGGGGATGTGGGCTGAACAACTTGGGGATGTCAGATACCGACCATGCCAGACACACCTCTAAGAAGGACTAGAGTGTAAGATTATAACTACAGCAGCTGCTCTTTCTAGAAACCTCCAGCATGGGGTGCTCTGCCTGTCACTGTACACACTGGCTCTCATTCTGTCAGCCAAAGGAGGAAAAATACAAGCCCTGGACTCAGATCGTTCCATCTGAATCCTGTTTCTTTTAAACAGGTTGCATGATCTATTTAACATTCAGCGTGCACATCTGTAAAATGGGTCGATACTAATGGTTGCTAACTGATAGAGCTGTTGTGAGAATGAGGTGAAGGAGTGCACTGAGGCAATAGAATTTTGGGGTTGGCTTGGATCTAGGCTTCCTGTGCACCCATTCCTTCTAACCTATGTTCTCCAGAGTTTGCTGCCATACTTCTGACTCATCCTTGTGGTTGAGAACCAGCTGATTTCTTCGCAGTGCTGACTTCTTCAGACTCTGGAGAGATAGACCAGGCTATGTTAGAATGAAGTGCCCACCAGGGCCAGGCAGTATGTTGCCAATGCCTGCCAACTATAGGGCCGATCCTCTGAAGAACATTCTCGAAAGTTCAAGAGAAAGATAGCATGTGGATTCTGCCCATCTGTGAATTGGGTGGAAATTCAAGATGAGTGCCTGCACAGCAACTGGGGGAGAGTGTAACATGCTGCGTTAGATAAAGAGTGTGGAAGTAAGTTTAATGAAATGTCAGAATCACTCAGAGCCCCAGTGCTAGGGGAAGAGCAGTGCTGCTTTGCTGTAGGCACCTTGATGGACTTGTGGGACTTGGAATGAACCCTGGGAAACTGGCCGCTTCACATGGGCAGCTGCTTCTCTCGCCTCCCCTTCTTCTGTGTAAACAAGCTAGGTGTTCATGGTTCAGTTGCTGGGACTCACCTTTGTGTCCCCAGCATCTATCAATGTCAGATTCATAGCAGACGTCCCACTAATTAACCACTCAAAGCTGTAGGCTAGTCACATACCTTGCTGTAGGATTGTGTTAAGATTTAAATAGTTAACTCCGCAATAAGGGATATACCTTTAACTTGCTGGTCTGTCTGATACTTCTCTAAATCTGAACATTCACATTAAGACAGACTAGGAGGAAGGATTGGCCATCCACTTCTGAAATAGCAGGCCTCTGAAAACCCTATGTACAACAGATATCATGCTTGGGAGGGTGGAGGGACAGCGCAGGAGAGGAAGGCCCTCTATGAGGTGGATTGATTCAGTGACTGGGATAATTGGGATGGGAGTTTCAGAGACAGTGCGATTGGCACAGGACAGAGCGGAGTTTAGGGCTGTTGTACATAGGGTCACTATGAGTCGCAAGCGACTCGACGGCTCATAACAACAACAACAATAACAACAACAACAACATTTGTCAGGTGCTTCGAGCAGCTTTTGTCACATAGTGAAAACTTGAAAATGTTAATATATTATTATTAAATGTGTAGTAAGTGCTAGGTAAGTGTAGACTTGGCACTTGGCACATTAAAAACAAGAGCCCAAACCCCGTGTTACTGTTGAGTTGTTTCCAGCACACAGTGACCATGTAGAACAGTGAAGAAAATCCCCAAGGGTTTCCGAGGCTGGAACCCTTTATGCAAGTCCACTCCCCTATCTCTCTCCAGTGGAGTGGCTGGGAGGTTTGAACCAGTGACCTTTCTTAGCAGCCAAAAGTCTTAACCACTGCACCACCAGGTTCCAAGCAGAGTAATGTATTACAGAGCAGATGGCTTTCATTTCTGCAGACTTAACAAATGAAAAGAGAGGTCAGTACTTTCACTGGGAATCTTGTAAAGTCGTACGAGTCGACATGCATGGTGTGGCAGGTGTGTAGATCATGTATATACAAGACTGGCATACAGTGAGGTACCCTGGTTGTGTTCTCTCGGATGAGGATCAGGCCCTGGGAGATGGGAAGTCAGTGAGGAGAAGCCGCGGAAGGGTATTTATGGTGGAGGCAACGGAAGGAAGGCTCTGTACAGTCAGTCACTGGTGCCATGGCCTCAGTTAATCCTTTATCCTTGTAAAGCTTCCATCCACAACTAAGTAAAAAACATTTTTCGCAGGCAACAGAATTTGTAAAGTCTGTGAGCCTCTGGCTTTTGCCTGAATACTGGTTTGTTTGTTTGTTTGTTTCATTCATTTGCCATTGGCTTTCTTTCTCTTAAGTGTCAGCCTTATATTTATGGTGAGAAAGGAGGGCTGTTTGGAGGCCTCCCACTGTGGGAGTTAAGAGAGGGAGGCTCTGGAGGCAGGACTGCCCAAGTCCATTCTTAACGGTGGCTTCTTCTCTCCTTGTTCAGCATTTCCCCAAACCTGGAGCTCGAAGCTCTCTTCAAACGACACTTTACTCAGGTGGAATTTTATCAGGGTTCAGTCCTCAATCCACATGATCTTGCGAGAGTCAAGGTAAGAAAAAGCAGGTGGCTTCTGCTTTTACTTCCTTTGGGGATATGGGGTTCTGACTCAGTACTGAGGGGCCATCCCTGCAAAGTGGGCTGGCACCTCCCGTATCCCTGATGGCATACAGCAGATACCATTGTCATCCTCGCCCAGCCCCAGGACTTCATTTTGCTGGGCCCCCGAGCTAGGGTCCTGTAAACATGCCACACTTGGACTAGACACAACCAGCTCACCACCTGCTTGGGAGTCACCTTCAACCCCATAGAAGCTGCGTGTGTAGAAGAGTAGGAAGTTGCTCCATAGGACTTACTATGGCTGATTTTTCAGAACTAGATCACCAGATCTTTCTTCTGGGGAACTTCAGATGGACTTAAACTTTGAAACGTTCTGTTAGCAGTCAGCACCTTAGTCATTTGTAGCACCCGTGGACTCCCTGGACTAACTGTGGCATTATTTTGTTTTCCTTACTATTCACCACTCCTAAAGAAAGTGGGCCAGCCGTACACGTTCTGTACTCTCAAACACAACATAATCAAATAAGTACCTTCTTAAATTTTAAATTAGACTTAACAAAGCTTGGGCATTTATTATTTACATGTGTTAGGAACATTAAGAGTAAAGTATAAGATAAATTTTTAATAGGCCATAACATTTCTGAGCTTCCTTTTGTCCCCACAAAATATTCTGTGTTCAAAAATGTAACTGATAGTATTTGGTTACTGGCACAAACCTTCCTCTCTAGAATTCCAAGTCAAAATCTCCTAGTAAAGTGCATTTGAGGCTTACGATGCAAAGGGGGACAACAGAGCAGCATCTGTTAATCGACTTGTTTGATACGGGTTTTAGAAGCACATTCAATATTTTCCTGGCAGTGGATGTGCATTAATACTTTGAACTAAAAAAATACTTTGAACTCAGTAGGGTTTAAACTCATTGAGTCATGATGAAAGACCCTTAATGAGATGGATTGACGGGTGCCTGTAACGTTGGACTCTAGCATTCAGAGATGGTGATGGCTGGTGCAGGGTAAGGCGAGGTTCAGATCTGTTCAGAGTCACCACAACTCTTAGTTGACTTGATGGCACCCAACAACAACAACAACAACAACAACATATAATTCCGTAAATAATCTATCTGGTGTTATGACTAGGCCAAGAAGTTTGGATTAGTAAGGAAAACTAGGAATAATTTTTGATAGTCAGGAAACTGTGTCCCCATCACCACCACCAAAGGCAGAGATGGTCTGTTAAGCACCAGATACCACAGAGGAGAGATCACTGATTGAGCAGGCGGTTTCTTCCGCTCCTATAGTCTAAGTAATGTTAATATTACCAAAGCACTATCTAGGCTATGGCTTATGCGGAATCTTATGAGGGCATGCGCTATTGTTCACAGGCCTAATTTGAACGCAAGCAGTTATTAGCATTATCAAAATCACGATTCCTGCGAAGGCTCTTTTAGCATGAACTTAAAAGGAGCTTTGATGGCATAGAGGCTTGAGTGCAGTGGCTGCCTGCACGCTGTAGTTGGAATGCACCCAGATATCCTGCAAGCGGAAGGTCCGAGAATTGCAGCCGAGAAAACCCCATGGGGCAGCCCGCTTTGTCACCTGCGGTCAGCATGAGTAGCAATCAACCTTTTTGATGATGGTTTTGCTTTGAGTCATATTTGACATAAGTCAGTAGAATGTACTTTGTGGTCACCTGTAACATTTCGCCCACATATTCAGTGATCCTTTGACTATATGAATAATCGTTGAATATGGAGCTACTATCTGGCTCAGTCTTATTCCACAGACAATGAAGATGTGAAAAGAGTTAAAGGAGAGACTTTGACAGACTAACTTTCTGACTCTCTAATAGCTCAGTTACCTTCTTAACTGACTCTTCTATCCAGATAACAAGTAACTTGTTAGCTTCCCTGCCTCCATCTCTCAACTAGGCAAATGACGGTGATGGTGCAGGCTGTAGGGAAACAGAAGGGATGGAACTGAAGATCTTAATTAATTGTTTTTTAAAGAAATTTAGAAGCCTCCGTGTAAGTAACGATGCCAGATGAACAGTGTAATTACCAAGGTACATATTGTGCCCGCCAGGAGCAACAAGATGAAGTGTTTATACCATAACAAGAATTTTCTCTGTATGTTTTTCATTAAAAAACCCCTATAATCTCTCAGAATTATTTTTTTCTTTTCCCATTGCGAAGAGCCAGGTTCTCTACGAACCGTCAACAGAGAGTGACTGGCACCACGTGCCTTCCACGTGTCAGCCGAGTGCAGCCAAGTGTTCATGTTTGTGTTTTGTGATCCTCCTTTTGTGTCTTAGATAGAGTCAGCAGATGCGTGCCTAATCCTTGCCAATAAGTACTGCGCTGACCCGGATGCGGAAGATGCCTCCAACATCATGAGGTAATCCTGGGAGGCTAAGGAGGGCCTGGGGCTGGGACTCTCTGCCATCCACTCACTCCTCTTTGGGTCTTCTACAGACGGCCAGCTCTGCTTGAGAGGGACCTTCTTTCCTCTTAAGCGATTTTACCGCTCCACCTGTGTAAGCCCAGGGCCACTGAGCCTATGGTGGGTGAGAGGTAATTGGCCCAGGGCACTGTTAACAGGAAGCTCCCCTTTACAGCTGGTATGGAGTCTGGGATTCCTTGGGACTAATTGAAAAGGGAAGACAGGGGAGGTCCAGTACCATGTTCCCTGAGAGAGAGTGCACCTGTCAGATCAAGTCTAGGAGCAGTTTGCCCTCCACTCTGGGATATTTGGCCACATCTAGGGACTTTTTCTGTTGTTGCCACAATAGGGGGCAGGAGTGGCTACTAAGATCTAGTGAGTAGTGAGTGGTTTGGATGCTGCTGAATGCCCCACAATGCACAGGATATTTCCCAGTGACAGATTTATCTGGCCCACAATGTTGCTTCTGCCCATGTAGAGACACTGGGTTAGATAGAGCTTTTCCAAATGTGGCAGCTGTCTTTGATTAGTACCTATCCCCAAAAGGATGTTATTGACCAGTAAGCTTATTTCAAAGAAGTGTACTCCTGTAGACTAGATTTCAATTCATAGCAGCCTTGGAGCACAAAGCAGAACCACCTTACAGTGTTTTCAAGGAAGTAGTGTTCATGCAAGCAGCCTGGGGCATCTTTCTCCCATGGGGTAGTGGGTGGTTCCAAACCATGAACATTATGATGAGGTTTTACGTTTTGAGTGCTCTAACCATCATGCCACCAGGGATCCTGTTTCTTCTCTGTGCTTTTCTTTCTTTCTTTTTTTCCCCTCAATAGTAATATGAATATCTAGGGAGCTCTGGTGGCCTAGTGGCAAGGAACTGAGCTACAATCCCAAAGGCACACAGTTCAAATCCACCAGCTGCTCCAGGGGAGAAAGAAGGGGAGTTTGCTCCCGTCTGACTAAAACCCACTGAAAGTCAGCTATGGGTCGGTTCCAACTTAATGTCACACAACAAAAATATGAATCTCAGGTACAATGTTCTGCAGAGACTTTCTCAAACCTAAGTAGCCCCTGGTGAGGCAGTTCGTAATGTATCCAACTGCTAAACAAAAGGTTGACAGTTCGAATCTAGGAGGTGCTCCAATGGAGCCATGTAGACGGCGAACTCCCATGAATATTTAGAACCTCAGAGGGTGGCTGAGTCGGACTCTACTCAGCAGCTGTGGATGTGGACCATAGTGTTGCTGTCTGTTGTACTCAATTCAGGGTTGCTGTGGGTCATAATTACTCAACAACACCTAACAACAACAACAACAACTATTTATACAGAATGTCTTTGGTGGAGGTACTCTTTGGGAATCCTGGGCCTTTCTTGAGTATGGGTTAGGTCCAACTTGCACTTTAACTCCAGTTCTAGCATATTATTTTCCCCCTCACTTTGTAAGAAAATGATTTTTTGTTCTGCTTATTGGCCCACATTTCAGATATCTTGTGGCTATGGAATTACCAGAGTTAAGGTATTTCGCTCCAGGTAGATAAAGTCCGTGACGGTCCTAATAAAGAGCGTGTTCTGCAGAGGAGATGGCCCGTGAGAAGGCATCCCACTCCTCTTGTATTCCCAGGAACTCTTCCCTAATTGAGAACAGCCACTCTTTTGTTTAGACACAGAGTCTTGATCCCTGCAGCTTAGTTACTGTGTCCTGGGAATGTACCTGAGCTGCAAGTGGCCTTGGAATCATTACAGTGCTGGCATCACCTTTGTCTTTGCTTTTCGTCAGGGGCCTCAAGTGGCCCGAGATTGTTTTCTGTCAACGAGTGGGGAAATTCCCCCCTCATGTTCCAGATGAGCAGGCACGCCCAGCAGCATCTGGTCCAGGCAACATCTGGCTGAATCGTTCCCGTTCCACTTGCTCTTCTGTAACAGTCTGCTTCACTGTAAGCAAAGCACACTGGCCTCGAGTTCTCTGTGACTCACAGGAACCCTGCCGGGCAGAGGACCATTGCAACAGGCAGCTTACAAAACTGGACATCTCTTCCCCCCTTTTATTAATTGTGATTTTGATGAAAGTTTACAGAAAACTTGGATTTTCATTCATTCATGGTTGCACAATTTCCTCGCCCTACACTTTTCACTTTGCTATGCAGCTCTTATTCTGGACTGTTGTCATACAAATAATGCCTAATTGTATATTCCTTTTAAACAGTTCTTTCCTTCATCTCTTCCAATGCAGTGTTCCTTATTTATCCCTTTTCTTCATTTCCTCCTAACCCCCTTATCAGTCCTGTTTAATAACAGTGTAAATCTTGGCAGAAGCAGACCACCACAGAACAAGCAGCTAGTAGGTCCAGAGTGCCCTTCACTTAGCACATGGTCACTGCAACACTGAGACAGTCATTTTAGGGCACTGAAGCATGAGCTTTCTTAAGTCCTGGGCCTGGCAGGCTGCTGAAAGCCTGTGCAGCGGGGGGGGGGCCTGGCTTCACACCTGTGCCTCTCCAGGCATCCGTGTCCCCATACAGTGCCTAAGTGGTCACAGCTCGAGAGTGTCACCACCATTTAAACTTGGGGGAAGGGGTCATTTGCACTTTCTTTGAACTAGAGTTTCCATCCTAGAGTCCTGAAAAATCTGCCCTCCCCCAGCCAAAGGAAATGACAGAAACCTAGCCTGCATGCAACCAAGTTATTTATCTTCAGATTTTCAAATTAAAAACCTAAAGAAGATGAATCTTAAAAATTTTAGACAGCGAAGAGGTTTGGGACTGGCTCTGCTTTCCCCAAAGGGACAGTTTTTTACATTGGGCACATTTTAAAAGTTGACTTTTCTTTAAATCACAATATTTTATTTGAAACTTGACACTCTGAAACATTGATGTAAAGACTTAGATGCAAGGATAATTGGCCTAACACCAAGGCTGAAAAAGCAAAATTCAAGAAAAGGTAGCATCCGATGTGTAATTAAGTCATTCATTAACCAGAACCAGAACTAAGGTCCTGGGAGCAAAAAGGGGCCTGGGAAACTCAGGGTTAAAAATTGGCTCTGTCTTCCTCTTATTTATGTAATCTTCCTTTCTCTTTAGTTTAATGAGACCAATCTGCCCCTTTTGAAATGAAAATGTCAAAGATCCATTTGAAATGAGGGAATGCAGAGAATTGGCTGCTGTTGTGCACAGAATTCTGAGGGCGACAGAAGCCCACAGTCCTTGAGTTATAGGCCGGTACCAACACAATACTTCTTCAAAAATAAAATGAAATCCTTCAAGTGCAGAAGCCCAGGGTGAATTGATGTAGGCAGAGGCCTCTGAGCCATCCATTTTCCAGATTCACATGTTACACTCTTTGTGACAGATCTGTTTCCTTCACTTTTCCCCTTCCTCATCTTTGCACAGAGAGGGTGGGGAGGCCTCAGAGACCACATCTATGTGTAAGTTTGTGGGGTGATCATAATAAATGTACTTGCACCTCTGCTGAGGCTGAGGGTGGGCTTTTCCGTGGAATTCCATTCTTTAGCCTTTCTTGTCACAGAAGGAAATGCACAATGTCACCTCTGACGGAGTCGGTAATGAGAAAAACCATCACTTACATGTGCAGAGAGGTTTTAATGATTTCAAAGCATTTTCACATCTGGTCTCCCATTTGCTGCTCATACCAAGCCTGTGAAGTAAATAAAACAGGTACTTCTGTCCTCAATGTGCAGATGAGGAAACAGGCACAGAGAGGCCAGGAATTTCCTGAAGGTCACCTGGTTCATTAGTGTAATACCAGGGCCCAGGCCCACGTGTTTCCATCCCATCCTTTCTGCAATGATGGGATTTGGAATAGAGGCAGGGTGGGGCAGGCTACCCTTATTCGGGCAGTTTAAAAAGGAGGTATGGAGATGGGAGAGGTATTCCACCAGACCTTGGCCTTGGCCTTGATCTCTCACCAGATGCTATTTGCTATTGAAGTTGAATAGTTGGTCTCATCCAAAGAGCATTATAATTATTATTATTATAAGATCATTATTAATGATCTTATTAGAATAGCCGTGTGTGTGTGTGTGTGACAGTGACACTAATTTATCATGTTGCTTATTTGTCTTTTCAAAGTGTTAGTGTGGAGAATTTGACTCCAGAGTAGGTTGTTTCTAGGCTTGTCCTGAGAGCATGAGAGATTGGAAAACTAGAGAGCTCGAAAATTTCAGCAAATGTCGTTAGGAGGGCCTGGTTCTTGGAAAAGGACATGCATTGGTAACGGTAGAAAGAGAAGGAGACCCTCAACAAGCTAGATTGACAGCGACTGCTGCACTGGGCACAGGTATATCAGAGATGATGAGGATGACACAGTATTGAGTAAGGTTCAGATCCATTGCTGATAAGGTCACCAGGAGCCTTAATTGACTCAAACAACAGTCACATAAACAATAAACATACGACTTCTGCTCCTAAAGTCCAGCCCCTGACCCGTGTACATATTCACACACACATATATACACGTACAACCATTATGGAGACCCTTCCTTTATTTTATGCCCCACACAGAACCTCTAGCTGTTTTTGTCATTTCCTTTCCAGTAAGTAGGGAATAGGGAAGTGGAAGTACAGTTGAACTTGGCTTCATGCCTTCATACCTGCAACTCTCTTCTGATGACCCCCTTGCTTGCTGGCCCCGCCCTGTTGGGAAGTCATCATATTAGTCTTCCTTTCCGAGAACTCTTGGGTAAGTCAGGCCTCACCCCAGCTTTGTTTCTTTCTTTTTCCAGAGTAATCTCCATAAAGAACTACCACCCGAAGATCCGAATCATCACTCAGATGCTGCAGTATCACAACAAGGTAAGACAGGGAAAGCCTGCCCCCAGCCTCAAGGTGCATATGTGGGCCGGTTTCCTCATCACCAGACGAACACACGCACACACAGAAATAGCCCACCATCCCACACACATGCACCTTCAAGTGCACACTCCTGCACAGGAATACACGCCCCTGCAACTCAGAAGCCTGGATACAGAGGTAGAGTGGGTGGTAAGCTCCCTTGTGCATTTCTGCAATCCAGATGCCCAGTTTCATTTGGGCAATGGGCAGAAAGTCCTGGTTCTTCCATTCAGGAAGCTCTTGTTGGAGCCTTAGTTTCAGAATCATGGATGTGTTCTTAGGTTCCATCCCAACTAATTGCTACCATTTCCTTTTTGTAAACTTTTTTTATGCTGTCTACATACAAAGTTCATAAAGCTCATATGCATTGTCTTTCATGCCCGACCTTTCTCCTTTCCTTTACCAATCCCTCTCTCCACCCATCAAATTGTGTGACCCTATGTTTAACCCCCACCTCCTTGGATCCTCGTACATGGTCTACAGTAATGGTCCCGTACAGTGTTTGTCTTTATGAGACTTAGTTTACATAGCATAAAACTCTCCAGCCCCTCCCATGTTAGGTAGTGATTTACAAAATCATTGCTCCTGTGTGCTGCATAGTATTCCATTGTGTGAATGTACCATAATTTCTCAATCCATTCCATTGTGGTTGGGCATTTGGGCTGTTTCCATGTTCTTGCTATAGTGAACAATGCTGCTGTGAACATTGGTGTACAAGTCTCTATCTGTGCCTCAGTTCTCATTTTCTCAAAGTGTATCCCAACAGTTGAATAGCTGGGTCATATGGAATTTCTTTGTTCAGCTTTTTGAGGAAGTGCCAAACTGTCTTCCAGAGTAGTTGTATCATTTTACAATCCCACCAACAATGTATACTAGTTCTTATCTTGTCACATCCTCTCCAACATTTATTACTTGATGCCCTGCTAAACTTTGCCACTACTACTGGGAATAGAAGTATCTCATTGTGGTTTTGATTTGCATCTCTCTTATTGCCACTGATTTGGAGCATTTCTTCATTTGTCTGTTGGCCATCCACATACTCTTCTCTGTGAAAATTCTTTCCATGTCTTTTGCCCATTTTGTAATTGGATTATCAGTCCTTTTCTTCTGGAGGCCCTGTAGTAGTCTATAAACTTTCATTATGAGACCCTTGTCTGAGATGGTACTGCCAAATACTTGCTCTCAGTCGGCAGGTTTTCTTTTCACCCTGTTGGAAAAAGTTTTTGATGAGCACAAAGATTTAATTGTTACAAGGTCCCATTCATCAGTTTGATCCTCTTCAGACTGTACATTTTTGGCTGTATTTGGCAGTCTCTTTATACTGTAGACTAGGCCTTCTAAGCATCATCTCAGTTTGTCTCTTATGAGCTTTAGGCTTTTGGGCTTTGTTCCAAGGTCTCTAATCCACTTGAGTTTATTTTTGTGTATGGTGAGAGATGTGGATCCCGTATCAACTTTCTGCAGGTAGCAGTCCAGTTTTGCCAGCATCATTTCCATATTTTTGTGGTTAGTCGCTACTTCTATCAACACTGATAAATATCTACTATGTGACCCTTACTGTCCCTAATACTCTGAGGGGTGGAAGTGAAGGAGACACCCTGTTTATTTACTTGGAAGGATCTATTGAGCTGGAGAAAGTACCCTAAGCAAGCATGGTGATGTCTTTGTCTGAGGCCAGGTGATATACCTGGGATGGAGAATGCGAAACTCTGTTCTAAGATTCAAGTGAGGATCTGCCCTGTTGAATTTAGGGGGAAAGTAGGAGATCTAGAGTGTTTAAATAGGAATTTTTCTGCTGTTATAGCTAACAGTTGTAGGATTGGAAAGAAGACCAGTATCTGAGTCCACGTCATTTGGTTTGTGAATGGCTTCTCTGTAAACTAGAGTTCAGCCTCCTCCAGGCAGCATAGTCAGTTCATTCCCGGACAGACAGCTTTGGAGGAGGGAAGGTGGCACCTTTTCCAGCCAGAAGTGGAGCTGGTTGTCTTCTTAATGAGACTCAGAAACTGGAGACAGCTCAGTACCTGGGGCCAGGTGTACTGCGTGAACTAAATAACTCCCAGTTGGGTCATGAGTGACAGTGTGCCCCAGCTTATGGGCCATATTCCCTACAAAATAGGCAGTCAGGTGACCCAGAGAAGACCCTCTGTTCTGCCAAATGCACCAACCTCATGCCATTATTTCTTGATTGCTGGCACATACTGGCCCATTTTGCTGTGGGGAGGCCATCACTGAGTGGGACCTGCTGTCAGTAACTGGCCTACCACTTGGAGTGGCTGCCCACCGCCACCATTACTCCACCCTCAGCAGGTGGCTTCCCTGCGGCGTGTGGTGCTCTCCAGCCAGTGGGCTTGGTGGTGGGCACCCAAGGTCACAGTTACCTGTTTATCTTTGGAAAACCCAACGATGCTGAAAAGATAAAGTGACGGTTTTGGTAACCCTAAGGTTCAATCTGAAGAAGCTTTTTTGATGGAAATCACTGTAGGTGGAAGTGGACTTAAATAGCAAAGCTGTGGCTGGGGACAGCTCTCTTGAGGCAATACATTCTCCTTCCATTTATGATTTGAATCCTGTTTGGTGTTGGAGTGCTTTACGCTGTTTCAGTGCTTAGCTAACTTTAGACTGAATAGGAGAATTAATGCTGTGATGTTTAGAAAGGAATACCAGTTCCTTTTCTCCCTTGTAGTCAATGCTGATGCAACATCTCAACATCTTCAAGAGACTCAGGAAGATTCTAGGTCTGTGATTCTTCCCAAACTCTAAGCAAGTGAACTGACCTAGAATGCAGGCTGTACTTGGGCAGAACCACCATGTCCATGTCAACCTGAATGACTTTTACAAAACCCTACATTGCAATGATGCAGACCCTTGCTCCTGTCCTTGGTACAATCTCGATCTTTAGGTTTTGGGGTTAGATAAAGTCACTTGTGGAAATCTTTCCCCTGTAATAAGTTACAGTCGTTTGGCTTGGACAATGAATGGGCTGGATAATAAAAAAGAAAGACAGAAGAGGAAATAATACAAACAATTTGCATCAATTTTGGGGAAGAATATTAATATTATATTAATATATACAAAAGAATGAACGAATCTCTCATATAAGACAAGTAGCCAGAATGTTCCTTAGAAGTTGAAGATGGTAAAACTCTATGTTGCTTGCTTTGGACATATTATGATAAAATACTAATAACTAGGAAAGTATATTATGTTTGGTAAAGTGGAGGACTGGAGAAAATGAGGGAAGCCATCAATTAGGGGTAGTTACACATTACCGTAACAGTGGGTATCAATCAGGGTACTTACCAGCCATCCTGAAGGTGGCACAGAGCAGGCAATATTTGGTGACACTGACTTGATGCGTCAGAGTTGACTTGATGGCATCTAACCAGAACAAGGGGAATTTTCTCTGTCATCCATTGGGTGAAAGAAAAGGGCATGTATCATCCTCTGGAGAAAACCAGAAAGAACCGTGTTCGTTGCTCGACATCTCACTTCCAGTAGGAATCCAGTGGAGACCGTTCATTCTGCTTCACAGTGCTACGCTGTTTTATAAGATGCTCTCATCTTATCAACATTTTCCATTTTTAATATTTTCCTTCCTCTCCTGACACTTTCTTTTCACTCACAACTAGGTGCCAGAGACTTCCACCTATTAAAACTTCCCTTCAGGAAAGAATCTGTGTACATGTAAAGTTAAGTTACTGTGACTATATTCCAAAAAATAGATTCCATAGTTGGATTATTGGGCCTAAAATGAAAAGCGTTCCAATCCCCTCTGATGGGATAATGGTATGTTCTGGGGCCTTAAGGGGTATCGAGAAGCTGCCTACTTTCCTTCCCTATAAAATTGGCTCTGAATTTGTCATCTTAATAATTATAGACATTTGTGTCATATTTTATGGTTTCTAAAGCGCTTCGACATCCATTATCTCATTTAGTCCTCATTTGACCATCTGTGCATTTTAGCATCCCAGTGTGACTTCAGACCATGGGATCTAAACTCTGCCACAGACAGATCAGCTCTGGTGGGCGCCAATCATGGTCACTTGGCAGCCAGCAAATAGAGAGGAATGCCAATTATTCCCTCCTCTATAAACAGAGCAACAGCACTTCGAATCAAACTGCGCTTTTGCAGAACCAGCATTATAGAAGAACTGCTGATTTCTTTTTCTTTTTTAAAAAAGTATCAGCAGCCAGTGGCACAACGGTGAAATATTTGGCTGCTAAAGGGCAGTTATGATTGACTGTCCAGAATCCAACTGCTTCAGACAAGCAGTGTAGATCATAACAAGTTATGGCTAACATTGAGAAGAATGGGACTCCCAGAGAATCCCAGAAGAATGAAATCCCAGGAGGCTATTGTGCAAACAGAGCAAGGGAACACTACATGGTTTAAAATTAGCAAGGGAGTGTGTCAGGGCTGTATTCTATCTCCATATCTAGTCAGTCTATATGTTGAGCAAGTTATTTGAGAAGCTGGACTCAGTGAAGAGGAGGAATGTGGCATCAAGCTCAGAGGGAGCCTCATCAATAACCTGTTATGCAGGTGACACAACCTTGCTTGCTAAAAGTGAGGAGAACTTGAAGCACTTGTTGCAGAGGATCAAAGAATACAGCCTTCAGTATGGATTGCATCTAAATGTCAAAAAAACCAAAGATTTTTACCACTGGACTGATAGACAACATGATTATAGATAGAGAAAAGATTGAAACTGTCAATAGCATCATCTTACTTGGACCCAAAATTAACAGCCTTGGTACCAGCAGTCAGGTAATCAAGAGATTGATTGCACTGGGAAAGTCTGCAGTTAGGGACTTCTTCAGATTATTGAGGAGTAATGCTGTCAGTTTGAGGACTAAGGTGAGTCTGATTTAGGCCATGGTCTTTCTGGTCATTTGCTATGCATCTGAGAGCTGGAGAGAATAGAGATAACAGAAGAAGAATTAATGCCTTTGAGTTATGGTGTTGGAGGAGAGCACTGAATATCTCATCGACAACCAGAAAACAAATATATCTTGGAGAAAGTGAAGCCTGAGTGCTCTTTGGAGGAAAAGAAGATGAGGCTTCACCTCCCATACTTTGGGTATGTTGGTAGGAGGGGTTACTCCTTCAAGAAGGAGGTGATGCTTGGAAAGGGAGAGGAAGACTTTCGACTAGGTGGATTGACGTGGTGATTACTGCAGTGAGCTCTAATATGTCAGAAAGTGTGAGGATGGCACAGGAGAGGACAGGGTTCGGATCTGTTGTTCATAGGGTCACTATGGCTCCTATTCAACTTGACAGCACCTGAGTATAACAACAACAGCAACAACAAGTAGTGACTGTTTGATGTTTGATGGTTCAAATTCACCCAGCAACTCTGGAAGAAAGAGAGCCAGGCAGTCTGTTTTGGGCAAGATGGAAAACCCTGTGGGTCAATCAGGATGAACTTGGCAACACCCAACAATGACAACAGATTCCAGTGACTCTCGGTGTGACCATCTTTGAATGTGAAGAAAGGTGCTGCAGGCGTGTGGTTGTCAGTGGCTGGAGACTCTTCAACAACAGGATGTTTTATGGCATCTTGGACAATTATCGCTGCAGATGATTTAGCTGTGGATGAGTCCTTCCGTTTCCCAGTAGACTCTAAATGGAAGAAGCCCACATCTTCCCACATTGTCACTGGTGAAAATATGAGAGCCAAGAAGGAGGCCTGAGCAATGTGTAATAATGTGTAAACTATATCTAATGAACTCCAACTACTTGAGGAATGGGAGAGAAATGTAGTGTAATTCTCCAAAGCACATTGCTGAAAATGCCTAGTGGTGCCACTGACACAAACTTGGTTCTATTGCTTTTATTAGTTAATAGCAAATGAGTATGTGCACATTATCTGCCCACTGACTTAAGGCCTGGACCCATTGCTTCATAGCCTAATGGCACAGGGAATTGTTGATTGATTGGGATAAAGGTACTGTGGAGGTGTGTAGTGTGTCTTTCAAGGTGATTTACTTGTTCATTACTTGGGTTCATTTTCTCTTCTTGTGATATTAATGCAAATGATATTTAGCTCCTAGACTTCCAGGTAATTAAGAGGGGAAATAGCTTTCTTAAGTCAGTAAAGAGTGGGGAGAGAAGTAGGATAAAGGGTGGAGAGTGTGGAATTAAGCACAGGATGGAAGGTTCACTAATCCTCGAGTTAATGGAAATGACTGTCGCTGTGGCCTGCACGTTGAGGGGTGTGAAGCATGCTCCCAGGAATTTTCTTTGCCAAGAGTAAACACTTCTGGGTTAGCAGCCCTAAGATTTTCACAGAAATGGGTTTTTCCAAGAAGAAATTTCACTAAAGTGTTATTTTTGAAAGCAGAACATCGAGCTACTGGACTCTGGCTTTGTTTGCACAATGGAATTTTCCATTTCCTGCTAATGTATCTACTGTAAATTATCTTGAAAGACAGGAGAACACTCTTCTGATTCTTTCTTGAGACCTGGAGAGAAGTAATGGGTTTATTTCAGGGCAATAGAATCTTAGTATTAGAAGAGAACTGGAGGGCTATCTCATTTGAGCTGCTTCAAGCCCCCAATCAAAGCCACGGCCGGAGAGCTGATCCTGGCTCCTAGTAACCCTATCTTTCTCTCATGGGGTGGCTGATAAACTTGGAACTATTGTGGCTTAGAAACATGTAACCCACTATTGCACTAAGGCTCAGATTCAACCTCCCATTCAAAGCACAGTTCATTTTGTGGAGAGACTTGGAGGAATACTGACCTTTAGAGGCAAAGATTTTGTGTTTTTGGAGACACCACCTCCATTTATTAAACAAATTACATTCTTAGAAAGGGCCTTCACATAACAAGCCAAAAGGCTGATTTCTTATAATATTCAGCAGTCAGTTTGAATTCTGGCCTGTAGGACGAGGCAGGACAAGCTTAATCCCTCTATGACATGGGGACACCTGAGCCATTCACATACCCTCCTCTGTGGAGACCCCCCCTTCTTCAGTCCAAACATGGCTGGCTCACTTTACTGCTTCTCCAAAGACGTTCTCCAGAACCCTCAGCTTTGCTTGTCATTTCTCTCTGGGAGTTACTCAACTTATCATTTTCCCTCTTTAAATCCGACTGTTAAATGTGAATCACATACCCTGGAACCATCCTGACTAGTTTATTTCCCTTGATCTGGGGAACATTTGCAGCCAGACAACATTGGCTTTCTCTGTGGTGTGTCACACAGTCGGCCTCTGTTTGGGGTCTTCTTCATCCCACACTTGGACTTTGCTTCCCCCCCCCCCTGACTTTGGTTTTCTGCTGTTGATGTGGAGTGTTTTGATTTGTTTTTAAATTCTATTTTGTTAGATTTTGCTTGCTTTTTCCCCCTCTTATGTCTGCTGCCAAGTTAAGTCTCTTTATTTTGAATTTATAATTGATATTTTGGAAGCTAAATGCTATACTTGATATTAAGGACTTTGAAATCCTTTCTGGCTGTTTTTTTCTTGCCCGTTTTCCCAACTCTGGCCAGCATTTTGTGTCTTGTTTCTTATTCTATCATCTCTGATACTCTTCTTCCTGCCACTTAAAAATAATTGGAGCAACAGCCCCTCTGTCCTTGTCTCAGGGATTTCCTAACTGTGGCATAGAATCAGTCCATCTGTGAGAGTCTGTAAAACAGCTATGATATTCCTGACAAACTAACAGGGCAGTGGTCTGCAGGAGCCTCAGATCATCAGTGCCAACATCCCTAGAACTTGTTAGGAATGCAGATTCTTCAGCCTCCCCTTACCTGGGTTGGGCCAGGGACCTGTCATGTCACAAATTCTTCAAGCATGAGAGAACTACTGATGTTGGGCACTGGAAAGGCAAGAGTAAGGAAGACACCAAGTATGTCTGTGTCTGACAGCCAGCCTCCCAGCCTATTTGAGGAGCCAATTTATGAACAACCCAGCCAGACATCCTAGTAGCACTGGCTGATCGATTTGTCACAAGAGGAGATTCCTTCTGGGCTCTGTTTGACTAAAAGACAAAGCCCAGGGAAGGACTTGAGCTTGATCAGTGCAGAGGTGCTGTTTCCAAGGGACTGAAGTCTGAGGACTAAGAACAGGTGAATCAAGTGCAGGCAAAGAAAGGGCAAAGTGGAGTGACCCTGAGCCACTGGACAGAGCTGAATTCCCCACAGAAGACTTACACCACTGCCCGCTCGCTCACCACAGCGAGTCTCATACCTGCTTTTGTTTCCACAGGCCCATCTGCTAAACATCCCGAGCTGGAATTGGAAAGAGGGGGATGACGCAATCTGCCTCGCGGAGCTGAAGCTGGGCTTCATAGCCCAGAGCTGCCTGGCCCAAGGCCTCTCCACGATGCTCGCCAACCTCTTCTCTATGAGGTCATTCATAAAGGTAACGTCTTGTCTTATTAGAGCACATTAGCCCAGGATTCAATTTGTCGTGGGGTTGAGCACAGAGCACTGCTTAAACTCAAAACAGATCGACGGGCTTCAACCACTTTGGTGAAGGAGAAATTCCTTGTTACAGATTTGGGCACGAGGCCAGCTTCTTTCAGAATTATGTTTTTATTTTTATTTGGCACATCCATGGCCATTAAATGATTGTTCAAAGCACAGTGCTCTCTTTTTTTTAGATAAACCACATGTTTATCTATCAACAAAGCCTCCGCTGTTAAAACAAAAATATGATTTATATACATTCCATATGGCACTGGAACGCCTAAAGAAAAGAATTATCATTTTGCTCTTTTACATCAAGTGGCTGGTGGACCTCTCACTGTGAGGATAAATGCAGACCATGTGTTTGTGCCGAAGCCCAAACCCCAACAACTTAATTCATTTATTTATTTCTGCACAATCAAGGAGGCCAGAAGGGCTGACATGCCACGGTTATTTGAATGGTGATTGAGACGAGGAACTGATTCTTCAGCAGTAGTTGTCCTTGACACAGGGAGACGGGCGGTCTGCATGTGTTAATCTCTCTGTCCACCACGTGTTCCACCCACAGGTGATAGGGCCACCACTCCAAAGCCCCCAGAGTGGCCTCTGACCACTGGCCCAACTCTGGTTAGCGAGGAAGGCCCTCCTTGACCTCACGGGCCAGGCTGGGTGTGGACCCCCTTATCCCTCCAGCGACCCCTTCTGGAGGACAGGGTAGCAATAATGCCAGCATTTATCCTCAGATTGTTCTTAGTCAAATGGCAAAGCAATAAAGCAAAATGAATTCATGTGGGTCTTTCTAATCTGTATCTAGATTGTTTTTCCTCTTATTATTGTATGTTGTTGTGTGCCATTGAGTTGGAGCCGACTTGTCGCTGACCCTCCAGCAAGTTTTCAGAGCCTAAAAATTACATGGGAGGAGGGAGTCCATGTCTGCCATCCAAGCAGATATATACACACCCATGTTTATTGCAGCTTTGTTTACAAGAGCAAAGAGTTGGAAGCAGCCTAAGGGCCCATCAACAAACAAATGGATAGAGAAGCTGTGGTATATCCACACAATGGAATACTACACAGCATTGAAAAACAAGGAACTCATGCAATATTATTCAAAGTGGGTGACCCTGGAGGACATTATGCTGAGTGAAATATCTCAGTCACAAAGGGACAAATACTGCATGGTGCCACTGTTGTAGAATGGGTCCGACATCAGGGTGGGGGTATGACAGAAAAAACTGGATAAATTATGTATATTGTATTGAAACAGATGAGGGAAAGAACAGATTAGAAGTGATATATGATTGAGTATTATGGTTAGCACAGGAATCCAGAATTAAGGTTGCATAGAGAGGTGAACTCGGGGTGGGGGATGGGGGGAAGGGACGTGGGAATTGTATTTTCTTTTTTTGTTTTTTCTCTCTTCGGAGGGGGAAGCGAGCTGGTGGGGAGGGGTGGGAAGGGAGAAAATTGCGGCAATGAATGAACGGAAATCCAAAATCTCTGTAAAAAAAAAAAATTACATGGGAGGAGATTCCCCATCTTTCTTCCAAGAGCAGGTGGTGAATATGAACCACCTGCTTTTGGATTGGTAGTCCAACTCCTTACCCACTAGGCTACCAGAACTTCCTCTTATCATATAGTCAAATTAAGAGCATTTGACACAAGTGTTTAGTACCACAAGGTCCCAGAATGGAGGCCAGAAGCTCTCTATGAAGGTGTGACACCTCTAGCCTTCCCCGTCTCTGCTGATAAAGATATACAGGGACTGCATTACTTGGACATTTCTTTATGGGGCTGAGGCTCTGACCCTGGCTGGTGTGAGAGGGGTAGGGGAAGGATGAGGTTCAGAGGCTTGACCTCCTCTCCTGGGGATCCACAAGCTGTGTCACCCACAGCTGGAGTTTCTCTAGGACCTTTCCCTTTTTACTCTTTGAAATCATCCAGCCAATAGAGAGTCGGCATTGATCTACATCAAAGAACAAACTGTTTCGAAGCACCTTCTATCGCTTTAGGTATTAGCAATTGATACCTTGATTCCAAAACAAAACAGAACAGAAACAGACAAGCAAAGAAACACAACCTTTGCTCTTGCATTCCCTGTGTGCTCAAAGATCTCCCTTGACAACTGTTGTCCCAGCTCAGACCCAGCTTGCAAACGAGGACATTGGGCTCCTTTAAGGCTTCGTTCAGGCTGCTGTTGGCTGCTTGAGTGAAGCTGACCACAAAATAGAGGCAGCAGAGCATTCTACGTGGTTGTTTTGTGCTTAGGGACAAGCCCCTAAGCTAGAGGTGGCCATGTGGCTTATGTCCTGTGGAGAGGAGCTCAGAGCCTGGATGAAGGGCTGTCACCAGGAGCACTCCATAGGCTCTCTCTGCCGAGTTCTGGTGGTTTCCTCCAGGCAAGGCCTTCCCCCAGGGCCAAGCATGTGGTCCTAGGGTCTGGGCTCTGCTTCCTGTGTTGATGTGACATGAACCTTGGCAGGGCCCACCACAGATGGGGGCACTTGCCATGCGTATGTTTTGATTTTGTGGTGCCTGAATGGTAACTAGAGCTGCCTGTCAAGAAAATTAATAAAACGACCATGATGCTGGTTCCTTGGTGTCGTTACCAGCGGGGAGAACTTCTGCCCAGCTTTTCTCAAGAGCCTGCAGGGCCTCACCTCCACAGCCAACGACTTCCCCTCCCGCCGAGCTGATCCTACTGCCAAGTTCCTATTGAGGAGGAGCCTGTGGGAAAGGCTAGGCCGGGCCCTGGTATAACTGAAAACACATTTCCCTCCTGGGGTTATGTTACCATGTTCTTTCTGTCCAGGGCTAACTTCCCCATGTCAGGAGGGAGTGCTCTGAACATGGCCTTTCAGCATGGAGGTGGTCTTTGGATTGCAATTCTGTAAGATATTTGTTTTTTAAAAAATGACTCCTACTCATTGCCTTTGAGTGGGAACCGAAGCTTTGCTGACCCTCCGTGGAGTTCTCAGGCTGTGAGTCCAATGGGAGGAGATTGCCCATTTTTCTTGTGCACAGCGCTGGTAGTTTGGAACCCGAGAGGCATGACCCTTCTCACAACACCACATTAGAGCCCCGCACACTTACCATTGAACTCAAGAAATCCATCGCCATTGAGTCAGAACCACTCAAGCTGATCCTCCAGCAGGGTTTCAAAGGCTGTAAATGACGTAGGGTGACACTGCCCGCCTGTCTCCCTCAGAGCTGCTAGAGGAGGTGAACTGGCAGAGACAGGCCACCTTTGAGGTGGCAGAGCAGTTCCCTACCAATGAGGCCACCAGAGCTCCCTATGTACTTGTCTAGTGTCCTGGAAAAACCAACATCAAGAATTCTCTTTCATCTATCTATCTATCTATCTATCTATCTATCTATCTATCTATCTATCTATCATCTATCACCTATGTGTAGGTACTTTCAGTTGGCTCTGACTCATAGCCAATAAATTTAAACTAGGAACAATTTAATTCTTAATTTAAAATAAGAACAACCATATAATAGTTTAATACAAAGAAATTTTAAATAAGAGCAACAATATATAATAATTTAAAAGTACGAACAACTTTATCCATGTGCTCCTCATTCTACATTGTTATCCTTGTCAGTCCCCCTTTAAATCCCAGCTCCTCACTGTCTCCTACTTTAATGCTATCATTGCCATATTTTATATTCGTCTTCTCATCTGAAGGCTCACAATGCCTGAGTTAGGTTTACTGGGAGAGTTGTTGTGGAAGAGATAGTAGCAGTAACCCCCATGTTACAAATGGGTTACTGTTTGCTGAAATTGCATCCTTTACCCAGACTCCCACAGGGGAGACTCCACCAGCGCTTTCGTGGGACCAGCAGGCTTGTTAACTGGAGGGAGGAGTGAGCTCTGGCAGCCCCATGCTTTGAGGACGTTCGGATTGGAAAAGCCACTAGGGGAGGTGAGGTCACCTCTCTTGCCAGGGAGGTGGGGTGTTTGAGTCTGTTTCTTGGTTCTGTGAAATTATACTCTGACAGTGCTCACAGGAGAGCAGGGTCCATCACAGGATGGCATCGCAGGCAGACACGCAGCAACTCTCCCCTGGGCTTGTATTGGGTATAACAACCAAACAGCCAAGACTGAAGTGGCCGAACTCCACAAAGGAAAGACAAGGACTGTTGGCAAGTGGCAATTACAGTAGGGAACCAACCCAAAGCAAAGGCATCAAGAAATATGGGTGGGGAGGGGAAGGGCACTAGTTTAACCTCTAACGTTAACTCTCCGAGATCCTAACCTAGTGAGTTTGATGTATACTGCATTGAAACAGATGAGGGATCAAACTGTTTAAAAGGGACATATGATTGGGTATTATTGTCATGACAGGAGTCCAGAATGAAGGCTGCAATGGAGTGGACTTGGGGGAGGGATTGCATAACAATGAAAGAGTTTTTCTTTTATTTTTTAAGGAGAAGAGTGAATTGGGGGTGGGAGGTAGGGATTGGCAGGGAGAAAAGTGCAACAATGAATGAATGGAAACCCTAAGTCTCTGTAAACTTTCATTAAAATCAATTAAAAAAAATCCTAATGACACCAGGGCCCTGCCCCTGCAAGTCTAGCTTTTATTTGGAATATGGCATCTCTGGGACTCTACAAACAGTTTTAGCCCAAATATTTTAGGGGAAATGAATTTCTTAATTTGAAACCTGCTTTAAGGGACTTTCCTCCTGGCTCTTGGCCTTAATTTATTTTACAGTCACTTCAAAGCATGCCCATAACACTCCCAGGTACCCTGGGCTTTGTGTGCTGAGTCTGTGCTAAGCTTGTATCCAGTACTTTTATGAAAGAGGCTCATGTGGGCACCCTGGGTCCCCAGCATCAGCAACTCTTTCTGTTGACAGGCTGGGCATCGTGTGCCGCGGTACCTTGCTTGCCCTGTTGACTGTCTCTGAGGTTTGTAGGTGACTCTCCTGGGCCCTGTGACTTAT